TCAGCAAGCTTGCACACAGGAGGGGATGACCTGCTATTGCCGCGGAGATCCTCCAGCCTTCGACTCGCGGCATTTGGACATGAACTTGACCGGCAGCAATGATCATATGAGCAAATGACCTCAAACATTGCAGACATCCAGCGAAGCTGCGTAAGTTCATTTTCCATTCAAACGCAGGAGCGCGGCCACATCCTGAGGCGATCTAAGGCGTAGCTCCTGGCTTTCTTGATGTAGCACATGATTTGAGGGTTTCCCCAGATCAATGAAATCCCACAATGAGAGCGCATATTTGGCTCACTTGTTGGAGCCCCCTTGCACTCTCAACGGAGCTCTCCCCATCAAGCTGGTCAGTGTCAATGACATAAAAATGCATGAAATGAAAAGCTTTCTAGAAAGTATATAAATCTGAGAGCGAGCTCACGAACCCCTAAGGTTAAGTTGCCTGATCAGTCAGTTGCAGCATATGCCTTAAATGGAACAGAGCGCGCAAAACATTTGAATGCTACACACCCAAACTCAAGACTTATGCAAACAAAGAACCTTTTTACCCTCCTCTGCTGCCTCCTCATGGCTCTTGCCTGCATCTAGTGCTTCCTTCCTTGCCTTCTTGTACGCAACTGACTTCCTAGAAAGCCTCTTTTTCCTTTCCTTCACCTCATCCATCTCCTCTGTGCTGTCTGGCGGGTCAGTGGGTGCTTTGCTCTTTGCCTTGCTACCCTTCTCCTGCTTGCCCTTCCCCTTCTTGCCCGTCTCCTCCTTGCCCTTCTCCTCCTTGCCCTTCTCCTGCTTGCCCTTCTCCTGCTTGCCCATCGTCTCCTTGCCCTTTGCCTTCTCCTGCTTGCCCTTTGCCTCCTTGCCCTTCTCCTCCTTGCCCTTCTCCTTGCCCTTAGACCGTGACTTTGCTGCCTTCTTGGGGCTTGCCTTGGCATCAGGACCTGATGAAGATGCTGCCGAGCCTTTGCTATCTTTGCTGCTTGTTGGCTTGCTTGTCTTTGGGTGCGATGAAGGTTCTTCGGCAGCGGTTTTGATGCTCTCATCTGTGTGCTCCTCGGTATGGGTGTTCGTGGTCTTGTTTGCTTCGTTAGGTGCTGTTTTGCCTCTCTTGCGACGCGGCTGCTCCTTGGTTGTTTCTTCGATTTCTTCCTTGGCCTCAGTGTGTGCTTTGTGTGCTTTCTTCGGGCTTGATTTCGCTTTGGCCTTTGGCCGTGGTTTTGTGGATGCACGCGCCCGTGATTTGGGAGCTGCTTTGGCTTTGGACTTTGCTTTTGCGCTGGCTTTGGCTTTGGCCTTTGCCTTGCCTGCAGGCCTACCTCTCTTCTTGGGGCTCTTTCCTGATACTGCTTTTTCTTGCTCTGCTGGCGAAACTGAAGCTTCTGATGCAATTGCTTTTGGCTCTGCTTCAGCTGCTGCGACCTCTCCTTCAGGAGCCTCAGCTGCTGGTGCTGTCTTTGCTTCAGCTGTTGCTGTTGCTGGTGCCACCTGTGCTTCAGTTTTTGGCGGTTGGTCCTCACCGTCTGGTTCAGCTGCTTGTCCATCTTGCTGTTTGTTCTGACCTCTCTGAGTCACATCCTCCTCCCTGCTTTGACCTGTGGTTGGTTCAGAGTCATGTGTTTTGCTTTCCTGCGGAGGCTGTGAGACATAGGGGTTGCAGCAGCCACTCTGAGCTGGACTCGTGTGGGCAGCCGGGGCAACACCCTGCCAACAAAGTTGAAACAAATTGTTTACTGCAAACAAAACAGCGATGGAATAACACAAGAACACTGCATCAAACACTTGGTGATTGCCTTCGTCTCAGGCCGAGCCATAGGAACGGGAGGTGGTGAATTGGCCGGAATGATAACAACTGGAAGCCCATCCTTCAAAGCAGCACAAGCTTTTTCAAAGTCAAACCCTTCTTGGATAACAACTGGACCTTTCTGCAAATCCTCCTTAGCCGCAGCCAAGACATCCTGAATTGAAGGGTCCAGCTGTTCCAACGGAACTCTTGGAGGGTCAGCCATGATGGTGCTTCGCACGCTGCTCTCTGCTGTGTCCATGGGCAAGGTATCCACATTGTCAAGACCTTGAAGACAGGCAAACAAGATACTTGACAAATCCCAAGCTGTAGCTATAAGATGCGATAAGCACAATCACCCATTTGCAAACAATTTCATTATTACACTTCACTCTGCAAGCATGGCACCATGTAAAGCAACGTCCTTCTTGTTCTCCAAGAGTTTCTGCAGTTTCTGGCGTTCTTCCTCCAGCATCTTCAAAAGCCGGAGTTTTTCTTGTTTCTTTGATTCCTCCTTGATTTCAGCAAGTGCTCTCTCACGTTGTTTCTTCCTCTCGATCACAAAATCTTCTTTGCATCGGTCGTTCTTGAAATGTTGGAAGTCATTGCTCAAGACTGGACAGTTGGCACACATCAACGCAGCTGGCACTATTTTGTGTACTTGGTTTGGATTACAGGGCAATCTCAAAAGACCCTCCCTGTGGCGATGCACTGAACGACAACACTGACAAATCCATCCACACTTCTGGATCTCGTGCTTGGCGTGCTTGTTGTGCTTGGGCGCTGAAGCCGGGGATGCTGCAGGGATGCCTCTCCAAAGCGTGCGCAGATCAAAGTGACAGCGTAGCGTTCACCACGTTTAGCAGTGCAGTGTAGCAACTTAACACCCTAAATGCCGGCAAGTTACGGGGCGATGGCGTCTCAACCAAGGTTGGGCTTAGCACGGCAGGACCTTGACAAGAACAACAAAAGCATTGTTTCGCCAAACGCTACCACACATGCGCACATTGAGCTGGGAGACTCTTGGGTGAGCAAATTGGATCCACCTTGTTCACCTTATGCACAGGCTCCTCAGCCTCCAGAACCAGAAAAAGATCCGGCGGGACACAGGTACTAGACTTGACATCTACTGCTAAGATTGCCTCAACTTCAACAACAGCATCTTCTTCAAATTGTTCCTCCTCTTCACCTTCACCTTCACCTTCACCACATTCATGCTCAGGGCCGTTGCCACCAGCAGCGTCAGCGCTACCAGAGGCCTTCTCTTCGGCGTCGCTGACGTTGTCATCATCACCACAATCTTCACCTTGAACAGCGGGCGATGGATAGAAATTGGATTGGCCATACATACAGATGCATTTCAATGTTCCCGAAGTTATGCTCAACGTAAAAAAGTTGATATGCAAAAATATAAAGCAAGGAACCATCTTCAGAAAAAACTGCCAAGTTGGTGTTGCTCAGCAATGTCTTGAGATGCTTGCTCCGGGGCGTGTGGGGTCTCTTGGCTGCTCTGGAAAGAATGCTGATCAAACGCCGCAGCTTCCATGCCTCTGCTTTGATGGTCTCACCTAAGGATTGACTTGGCAGGAAGTTAAGAGGAAGGCAAGAAGGATGTAAAGTGAGTTTAATGCGTCAACAGAAATTGTTTGCTGCTGAAAAGCTCTTGGGAAGTGCTTTTCCTCTTGGGCGAGCAAAGCACATGAAGCGAGTAACAATGTCAACCAGCACGTTGATGCCAGGCCTAACACCTGAGCGCATCGGCAAACATTCTTGAAGACAACTGTAGCATTGTTTTGTTTTCATTATTTGCCTTACATCCTGATGAGATGATGGCTGCACCTGTTTGACACTTATCTACAACACCCCTTGATGCAGCCAAACTACCCACAACGTTGATGAGTGGCTCTAAGATGTCAGCATTGTCCACACACGTTTGACGTGTTAATTGCGCGGTGCAATCAACCATCCTTCCGGACTTAGCAACACTTGCTATGAGTTCAGGCATATTTGCCCATGCAGCCAGCACAGGACACGCATCATCACCTGCCATGGCCTATGGCCACTGAAAGAGTGCCCAACCTAACCTTTAGCCAAATGCCTCTTGAAGCGCACAATGCATGCATCATGCAGCACTTTCTTTGCATGTGACATACGGTATCATGCGCTGCATGCAAAAAGGAGCAGGCAGTTTGACTCATGTGATGTGCCCAGGCCTTCTTCAAGAAGCTGCGGTGGCACTTTACCCCAGCGTGCACACTACAAACTTCGAGCCCCCTTCTGCGGCAGGGGGGTTGGGCAGAAGGCTTGGGGTGAAAGGGCACTGAAAAGTGCTCGAAACCTGGTTTTTGCTCGAAGTGATGAAAAGTAGCCGAAGTAGCACATTCCAGCCGATTTCCGAATTTAGATATCAAAACCCCATTGAACACAAATTTGTGTATCAAATGGTCCTTTAGGTATA